TTCACGGCATGGCCACCAGGGCGGCGTTGCGGTTTGTTTACATGCGTCTGGGTGTGCGAGCGAGCGTCTCTGGTGAGTTTTCAAAAATTTGCAGGGTTTTTGTTCTCCTGTTGTCGTTTCTTTGTTTTTCTGGTGTTTTCTTGCCGTTGCCTGTTCCTCTGGGAACGTTTGGGTGTTGATTTTGGGCCTGAGCCTCTGGGTTTAGGCTCAGTGCCCCTGGCTGGTATGCTTGCTCCCACACCTTGCCCCTCGGTTTTCGGTCTGTTGGGACCGTTTTCCCAGGGCGTTCTGCTGGGGTCTGTGCTTTGCCTTTTAGTGGTGTTCTCCGCCGGCAAATGTGGTGGTTTGGGCTCCCCCTGGTTCGATTCTGGGTTCCTTTGGGTTCCTTGGTTTCGTTCTGGAGGTTTCTTCCTCTTGGGCCCCCTTTTGTGGGTTCAGGGGACTTTGTTTCCTTGTGTGACCCGGTTCTGCCTTTTGGGGTTCCGGGGTCTTCCTGGCTTGCAGACTGAGCTTTTTGGGTCTTGGCACATGTTGTGGTTGTGCTGGGACTTTGTGGTTTTGCTGTCGAGGTGGGCCTTTTGATGCAGTTTTGTGCCTTCTTTGCCTGGCCGGCGTAGTGCTCTTTGCCACTAGTCGGCGGCTTGTGCTTTTACAATATATGTCCTCACCTAGTTGTGCTTGTGGGGGTTGAGCTCTGGCTCCTTGGTCCTGCCTCTCAACCGTCCATCAACAGGTGTATCGGATCCTGTGCCTCTTGGGCTCTGTCATGTCTACATGTGACATTGTATGGGGGTCAGCCTCGTTACTTGTGTGAGGAGTCGCCACATTACTTCCTAGTGCTTTCCCGTTCCCATTCTGACACTAAAAAAAAAAAAAAAAAAAAAAAAAAAATTCTATCTGTGGCTCTTTTGGGTACTCAGTTTCCACCTGTGTCCCCTAGTGCGTGTGCCCCTTGTGTTCCATAGCCTGTCCTTATCAACCCTGTCGATTCCCTTGGGTGTTTTGAATGTGGTGATCAGGTCTCCCCTCACTTCATCTTCCAGCGAAGTGTGGTTTCATTCCCGTTGTCTCTCCTCATGACTTCGGTAGTGTACTTTTTCTTTCTGATGGGGTTCTGTTCCCTTCTCTGTTGACTGGGCGCTGGGGAAGCAGCTTGCTCTGTTGCCTCTCGCTTGGTCCCGCTGTTGGTGGGCGCTTTGGGTTGTCTTCCGGCCTCTGCTGGCGTCGGAGGACGGCTTCTCCCCCTTGGGGGGGTTCAGAGCTGGCGGGGTGGGCTTCTTCCCTGCGCTTCGTCATTTCCTCTTCGTGGGTGCGTGGGGCGTGGTCGATCCGCCCCATCCTTCTGGGCTTCCCGTCTGCTCTTTGCAGTCATGAGCTTTTCCCGTCTGCTCTTTGCAGTCATGAGCTTTTCCAGTCTGCAGTTCTTCTGGACTACTTCCGTCTGCGCCCTGGATCCTCTGCCCTGCTCGGAGGACTGTTGTCTCCTGTTCGGATTCTGTTAGGGCCGGGTGCATGGATGGTGGACCTGGACCTCCAGGTCACTTCTTGGCACGTTCCTCTCCAGTTTTTCTGGGGCTAGCACGGTTGGTAATTACCTATGTGTACTTACCTACGTGTCATTACAGGATGAGCTACTCTCGTGGTGTCCCGTCTTCCCAGCACTCTTTGTCATATAATGCTTTGATTATAATTGTCATATTGTCATATAATGATTGTCATATGTCATATTATGTCTTCATATGATTGTCATACAATGCTTTGGTGGTGGGGCTTCAGGTTTGCTGTTTTTATTGCATTCCCTATTTTGTGAAGGGCACTTTGTATACTCTTTGCATCTTTACCGGATCTTAGTGCCCTGTCTGCGTCTTGAGATTTGGTGTCTGGCCTACCTCGACGACTGGCTGGAGTGGGCTCCCAGTCAGTCCGCTTGTCTGCTCGCCAGGGGATGGTTCTTTCCAGATCGCTGGGTTTGGTTTCCTGGTGATCTGGAGGTTTTACCTTCTGTTTCCGTCCCGGGTTCGGACCTGGGCCTTGTTTCAGGCTCTTGGGCCCCTCATTGTCTTCCCTCCAGAAGTGTTACTGTGGCTGTGGTCCCGCCTTTGGCTGTTCAGGAGGGGGTCCCGGGTCGCTCAGCGGTTGCTTGGGCGGTTGTGCGGGAGTTTGCACTTCGGCGTGCTTGTCTGCCCGCAGAGTCGGGTTTGACTCCGGCGTCGGTTGGTTCCTACGGAGACTCCACTTCCGCCTCTTGCATTCCTTGGGTTCCTCTGGGGATCTGGTGTTGGTGCTGCGTCACCAGCTTCCTCTTTGGGGTTTTCGGGGTTCCGTGCCTTGGCAGCTCCCCGAGCCTTCGCTCGATGTGTTCACGGACGGGTCGTCTCTCGGCTGGGGCTTTGTGACCAGTGCTCACCAGGTCGGCCGAGGTTGATGGAGTCTGTCTGTCCGTCGGGCTCACAGCCCGGTTCAGGTGTTCATGGCTGTCTGGTTTGCGCTTCGGAGGGTTTGGGTCACTAGGTACTCTACCATTCAGCTCTGTTTGGACTGTTCTCTGGCGGTTCTTGCCGGAACCACAGGGGGTTTGGTTAACCGTGTGGTTCGTGTCCGGGGTGTGTCCTGCGTCCTGGTGGACAGCTGTCTCGGTTCATTCCTCTTCGTGGGTTGGCCAGTCGTCGCCGATTCGTTTTGTTGGCTCTGTTGGGCTTATGGACTCCTGGCCATGGACGTCTTCGGGTCGGCGTGGTCTAGGCGTCGCCCGTTTTGTGGCGCCCTTCCCACCTGCGAGGACTTCACGGTGGAGGCTTTCGGCAGGCCTGGTCGAGGTGGGGGGTACCTGTACCTCTTCTCCCGGTCCAGCTGTTGCTTCGGGTTCTGGCTCGGTTGCAGCCCTTTCCACGAGAACAGTCCTTATGGTTCCACGGTGGCCGGCCCGGCCTTCTTTTCAGACGCTGCTTGATAGGTGTCCGTACCCGGGGCGTTTTTCCTGAGGCTTCGCCTCTTTCAGCAGGCCGAATCGGTCCTGTCCGTGACTGGTTCGGCCTTCTCTTTGGCTCTTCGCGTCTGGTATTTTGACGCAGGTATCGCCATCTCTATGGTGTTCAGGTGGCTTTGTTGACGGTGTCCCACCTGCGAGCTTCGTCTTGGAGACTGTATGACGTTTATTACGTTTTCTCGCGTTTTGTTTCCCCTCCGGCCTGCTCATGAGTCGCCTGAGCCATCCTGGTCCTTGTTCAGGGTGCCTTCTTCTCTTCCCCTCAGTTTGTGGTAGCCCCTTCGGTTCCAGTTTCCTCCTCTTTGGTACTGGTGGTAGCTTTATTGGTGTGCAGCCTTTCTCTGTCCTGGCGACGGTCGAGACGGCTGCTTTCCGGAGGGGTTCTTGGGGTATTGGTACTTGTTTGGTTTGGCCGGGGGGTGCGTCCTGTGTTGTCCAGTTGTGCTTTTTGCTGTTGCCGGCGTACCGTGCCTGGGGATGCGCTGTGGTTGATCCGGTTCCTTCCTTCCCTGTTTTCAGGGCTCGGGTCTCCCGGGTCGTCCGCAGTGTTTTCCTTCTTCCTGCGGTCTGTCTTTGCGCCCGTGCTGTTCAGACGTTTGCAGCAATTGCTGCTGTGTTGGTGACGTCTCGGGCTCATTTCGGGCGCAGGGAATTGTGGGTCGCACAGGTTTTTGGCCGCCCATCCATATGTGCGTCTGTTCTTGGGCGTTCTTGTTGCCTTGGGTCGCAGGTTTGCGACCGGTTGTCTTGGCTTTGCGTTGCAGAGTTTGTGGCAGCCGCCTCCCGGGTTAGCCCTTTCTTTTCCTTCTCTTTGGGTATGAAGCTCCAGGGAGCCGTAGGGGCTCCCCACAGAAAACCAGCGTTGAATGTAATGAAAACGCCATTTTCTGGGTGAGCCCCGGAGGCTCCCTGGAAACCCTCCCTCCCACCGGTCGGCGGTTTTTTTCGCGTTGGTTGAAGCTTAGCTTCCGAACTGGAGCTTGGCAGCCGGCGCGGTAGGTCCGGGGCTCCCCCCTCCCCCTCCCGGGGTGGGGAGGGCTGCGCGGACGATCGGCGCGGCAGTAAAGTGTGATGTTTGCTTGTTTGCTTGTTTCCTTGGGATTGTAGGGAGTTTTCTACCTCTCTGTTCGGTTTTTGTTGTAGTTTCTTACCATGTGGGGTTTGTTTTGTTACACCTACCTTTCTGGGTGCCTAACCCCGGTCGATGGCAGATAAGGAAAACCCCCAACCATACGGGGTTTTCCAGGGCCATTGCTCCCTGAAACCTCTCTGAAGGGGCCAGGTTCTGGCGCTGGTCCCTGGTAGGTCTGAACTCCTTAGCTAATGTCCCGGTCTAACATAACATACATTAGCCCGATAAGCTCCAGGGAGCCTCCGGGGCTCACCCAGAAAATGGCGTTTCATTACATTCAACGCTGGGTTTTTTTCAAGATGGCATCTGTTCATTGGAGTCCTGAGGACCAGGGGCCAGATTCACGAAGCAGTTACGCAAGTACTTACGAACGTGTACATCTCTCCTCAATCTTTGATGGTTTTGGTTACATTTATTAAACAGTTTACAAGCCTGAAAACTTGCCAATCAACTGTTGTTATTGTTATAAACAGCCTCCTGGTGCTTCCGAGCTCATTAACTGTTTAATAGTTGTAAACAAAGCCGCCAAAGAATGAGAAAAGATGTACAGGTTCGTAAGTGCTTGTGTAACTTCTTTGTGAATCTAGCCCCAGGAAGTGAACCCCTTTGTACCCAGGGGGGGGGGGGGGAAGGGGTAAATCTTACAATATACAGTACTAACAAAACGTGATGTGCTGGTGTAACACACACACACCCTTTCTCCACGATATCAGGGTGTGTGTGTGTGCAATACAATGGTTAAGACCATAGATCTTAAAACAATACCATTGGAATGTCCTACAGAAAGGAAATATAAAAACAAATCCTTTCTTAAGCAGACAAAAATGGTATGCACTTATGCAGTCATTACATGTCAAATACATACACCAGAGAGGCTCTTACTTGTAAAGCTTTCTGTCGACATACTCTCATACAACCGGTAGCCATCCTCTTGCAGTTCTGTAAGACCTCTTTCCGTACAGAGGCTTTGGATTTCTGACATCTTCCAACTTCTTTCTTGGCCATCAAGACCCATAGCTTGTGTCTTCGGATGGTAAGTGCCTGAAATGAGAGGACACATAAGAAAAACTTGTTGACCAGACCAAGTCGATCGACTTGAGAATGGTCCAGGACGGACCGAAACGTCGTCGTCCCTTCACCTTCTAGTGTGTGGTCTGCTCAACATACTTTAGCCACGTTATTGTGACTCGTCGCCTGCACAAAGATAAACTTGTAATATTCACTTTCCCACTCTACCACTCACAAATTATATATATATATAACAATACAAAATACTCTGCCAGCTATCATGACTATCAAAGCTATTATATTTAATAGGGAAGTACAAATTGTTACCGTGATGCTCAAGGCATTATTAGTATCTCGTAGGCATAATCACACTTCCTCAGCACCATAAATATAATCGCACTTGATTATAGAATGAGGGAAGAAATGTTCCGTCAATACTGGATCTAATATTCACCAGGAAAGAAGAGGAGATATTTGACATCCAGTACCTTCCTCCCTCGAGAAAGAGTGATCATGTCCTGTTGGAAATTAAATATGCTTTGCGATACAATCTAGAAGAGAATGGGTGCATGAAACAGTTGATAAACTCGATTTCAAGAGAGGACACTGTGGGAAACTTGGAAAATTCATCGGTGAAATTAATTGGCCAGACTTGATGCTAGGCAAGGAAGTAAATGAGATGTTTGCCAAATTTTGACATATATGATGAAGGCACACAAACATTAAACCAAAACAGAGATACAAAACCAGAAAGCAGGATTGGTTCAACAGAAATTGCGAGATGAGGATTTCAAAGAGCCGAACCCCATGCCACTTCCCAAGCACACCATAGAATACATAGAAGTATCTCAAGACGAAGTGAAAAAATTACTCATGGGGCTAGGAAGCAATAAAGCAGTTGGACCTGATGGAATTTCACCTTGGGTGCTGCGAGAATGTGCAACTGAGCTGAGCATTCCACTCCAATAGATATTCCAGACATCCTTGCGCACAAGAATCTTAGCAGATATATGGAAAAAGGCAAACATAGTTCCAATCTATAAAAATGGTAGCCGAGAAGAACCTCTAAATTATAGACCCACATCATTAACAAGCGTGGTACTCAAAACATTTTAAAAAAATAGTTAAAGCCCAATGGCTCGAACACCCGGAGAATAATGACATAATAATGGACAGACAGTATGGTTTTCGAACAGGAAGATTCTGTGTAACAAATCTTCTTAGATTTGATCTTCTGGGTAGAACCACAGAGATTCTACAGGAGAGAGAAGGTTGGGTGAATTGTGTCTATCTGGAACTAAAAAAGGCTTTTGACAGAGTCCCACACAAGAGGTTATTCTGGAAACGAACATACCGGAGGGGGTGACAGGAAGACTTCTGACATGGATGAAAATGTTTCTAATTGACAGACAGATGAGAACAGTAATCAGAGTCAATGTATCTGACTGGGTGAGTGTTAATAGTGGATGCTTTGTCACAGGGTACCACAGAAGTACCACAGGATTCAATTCTTGCACCAGTAATGTTCATCGTCTACATAAACGACCTCCCAGAAGGAATACAGAATTGTATGAACATGTTTGTGGGTGATGCTACTGGGGAACATAGGAGACGCAGACGATCGTCATGCCCTACAAACTGATCTAGATATAATAAGTGCTTGGAGCATCAAGTGATAAATAAAATTCAATGAGAATAAATGCCACGAGGAATGTGGAATTGGAGAAAATAGACCCCCACAGACAATTTACAAGCTACTGTATGTGGAGAGGAATTGAAGAACCCTAATAAAGAATGAGACCTATCTGGAGGTTATCTTGAGATGATTTCGGGGCTTTAGTGTCCCCGCGGCCCGGTCCTCGACCAGGCCTCCACCCCCAGGAAGCAGCCCGTGACAGCTGACTAACACCCAGGTACGTATTTACTGCTAGGTAACAGGTGCATTCAGGGTGAAAGAAACTTTGCCCATTTGTTTCTGCCTCGTGCGGGAATCGAACCCGCGCCACAGAATTACGAGTCCTGCGCGCTATCCACCAGGCTACGAGGCCCCTCACCACTAGGGGTGGTTTTGGATAGTAAACTGTCACCAAAGGAGCATAAAGAGCACTGTAAGAGGAGCGTAAACATCGCTTTCCAACCTTCAGGATGGTGAAATACTAAACAAACTGTCCATGACTTTTGGTACGTCTCATACCATACTGCTTGTGTAAAGGAGGAAATGTATATGTTTACCTCTCAGAATGTTTGGTAATATGTTTATTGTTTGTGATGTGTGTCGATGTATGTATTAACACGATGTACTGAACGGGGTGAGAATAGCTTGAGCTACCTCATCCCTTTGTGTGTATTTTACCTCAATAAACTTATTTCAATTTCATTTCAATTCAATTTCAATTTCATGACTTTTGTGAGACCAAAATTGGAATTTGCAGCTGTTGTATGGTGCCCGTATCTCAAGAAACACATAAATAAACTGGAAAAGGTGTAAAGGCATGCTACAAAATGGCTTACAGAACTGAAAAACAAGAATTACAAGGAGAGACTAGAGGAATTAAACATACCAAAACTACAAGAGAAGAAAATGAGGTGAAATGATCACCACTTACAAAATACTAACAGGAATTGACCAAATTTGCAGAGAGGAATTCCTGATATCAGCAACTTCACGAACAAGAGGACACAGATTTAAGCTAAGGAATCAAAGGTGCAAATTTTTTTTAGAAAGTTTTCTTTTGCAAACAGAGCGGAAGACGGTTGGAACAAGTCAAGTAATACGACAAAGAGTACTGGGAAGACGGGACACCACAAGCGTAGCTCTCGCCCTGTAACTACACTTAGGAAATTACACGCACACAAGAAAAATCCCCTACAAAACCCAAGTGCGCCCTTGGCTAAAGTGCAGGGCCCCCATTTACACTGGGGGGATGGGGGGGGCAGACAAGCACCATAGTCACTTAAGCATACACCTCATAACTAACACTTCTCACACCCTAGGGTGACTTGGGCTGCCATCTGGTAGTGGTGACCCTGGCATCTTTACAACACAGCAACAACTGTTGACCAAACCACACACTAGAAAGTGAAGGGACGATGACGTTTCGTCCTCATCAGCACAGCTACAACTATTTGCAGACGAGGGGTCACAATAACGTGGCTGAAATATGTTGGCCAAACCACACACTAGAAAGTGAAGGGACTACGATGTTTCGGTCCGTCCTGGACCATTCTCAAGTCGATTGTGTTACAACTGTTTGCCTTATTTTGCTCATTGTTACTAATTTGCTTAGGTAGTTACTCGCTTTTAGGCATCTATGCATTCTGGCAGAGTTTTACTCAGTTTTGGGTTAAACTTCATTTGTGTTAATCTTCATCTCATTGAAGTAGCCAAATTCTGGAGCCAGATTCACAAAGCAGTTACACAAATACTTACGAACGTGTACATCTTTCCTCAATCTTTGATGGCTTTGGTTACATTTATTAAACAGTTTACAAGCATGAAAACTTCCTAATCAACTGTTGTTATTGTTATAAACAGCCTCCTGGTGCTTCGGAGCTCATTAACTGTTTAATAATTGTAAACAAAGCCGCCAAAGACTGAGGAAAGATGTTCAGGTTTGTAAGTGTTTGCGTAACTGCTTCACGAATCTGGCCCCTGGTCCTTCCTCTTGGAAGGTTTGAGTAGTTCTCCGAGGCCAAATGTGATTCCTTAAAGCTTGGCAGACCCCATTGCTATAGCTCAGAAACATGTTCGAGTAGACTATGAGTAATTTTACCTGAGCATCTAATTTTTTGGGTTTTCGATCTTTTCGGCTGCCTCGGCCTCGACCCTTGACTGGAACTGTCAGGTCATCAGATGTATCATCCGGAAAACTGTGCAGACTGTCTTCATTTTGGGCCAATGGACTCTGGTAGATTGAGAAACAAATATAATTAAGTATAAAGCATATTATGACAATATATAATATACAATGATTTATAATGTATATAAGGATTTTATAATAGTCTTGGGTTCTTTAAACCAACCATTTCCACAATTTATATTTAAAAGATGAGATCGAGGCTATTGAATATTGTTAAGATGAATGAATACTATATTAAAAAAACCAGCGTTGAATGTAATGAAACACCAATTTCTGGGTGAGGCCCGGTGGCTCCCTAAAGCTATTACACAGTTTCAGTGCCCTACTACTAGGTGCCATCAGTTGCCAAGTTTTTATTGGCCTACCGGGAACAACGAGTCAGAACCTGGGGCTAGATTCCCGAAGCAGTTACGCAAGCACTTACGAACATGTACTTCTTTTCTCAATCTTTGACGGCTTTGTTTACATTTATTAAACAGTTTACAAGCATGAAAACTTGCCAATCAACTGTTGTTATTGTTATAAACAGCCTCCTGGTGCTTGAGAGCTCATTAACTGTCTAATAATTGTAAACAAACCTGCCAAAGATTGAGAAAAGATGTACACGTTCGTAAATACTTGCGTAACCGTTTCGTGAATCTGGCCAGGGGGCCAGATTCACGAAGCCACTCCCTGCCCCTCAGAGAGGCGCAGGGAGTGGTGGCCCTACGAACACCTTACATTTAAAGTTATTTATGTCTGCCACCACCAGGGGAAAGAACTCATGAAGCCAGTGAAACAAAACAGACCACTGCATGGTCAGAACGAGACTGCAGCCTCAAAACTGGCATAAGAAGTTCCTCATCAATATAAACAAACTATCAAAAATTTTTGAAACTAGCGCACACCTACGGAGCGCACATCATGACTTACAGAAGCTGCAGGCAATGAGTCACAATAATGTGGCTAAAGTATGTTGACCAGACCACATACTAGAAGGTGAGGGGACGACGACGTTTCAGTCCGTCCAGGACGGACCGAAACGTCGTCGTCCCTTCACCTTCCAGTGTGGTCTGGTCAACTTACGGAAGCTCATCAAGGGCACAAGGGTAGGCCATGGACTGGCTAGACGAGAAGACACTGCATGCGATCAGAGAAACACAAGCCCTGGAACAGAGAACCGGGGAAACTAGCGTGAACCACAAAGAGACCACCGAGGTTATCTCGAGGTCATCTTGAGATGACTTCGGGGCTTAGTGTCCCCGCGGCCTGGTCCTCGACCAGGCCTCCACCCCCAGGAAGCAGCCCGTAGCAGCTGTCTATCTCCCAGGTACCTATTTACTGCTAAGTAGCAGGAGCATCAGGGTGAAAGAAACATTTTAGCCATTTGTCTCCACCTCCACCAGGAATCGAACCCGGAACCTCAGGACTACGAATCCGAAGCATTGTCCTCCCAGCTGTCAGGCACCGAAACAAAACTGGTGGCACAAAGCCGCCACCGACACTGCACACGATACACCCTCAGCAAAACCACCACCACCAGAGGGCAACCTACTCATTCCCAACCAGAAAAGAAAGAACTGGCAGCAACCCAGTAAGGTACCCACAAAGACCAAAACTATAAAAGCCCCCACACCAAAGGTGCCTCGTAGCCTGGTGGATAGCGCGCAGGACTCGTGATTCTGTGGCGCGGGTTCAATTCCCTCACGAGGCAGAAACAAATGGGCAAAGTTTCTTTCACCCTGAATGCCCCTGGTACCTAGCAGTAAATAGGTACCTGGGTGTTAGTCAGCTGTCACGGGCTGCTTCCTGGGAGTGGAGGCCTGGTCGAGGACCGGGCCGCGGGGACACTAAAAGCCCTGAAATCATCAAGATAACCTCAAGAAAGGTGCCCAAGAAGCATCCATGCCTGGCAACCGAAAGCCAGAGGAAGCAAAAGAACGCCAGCCAAAATAAATGAGGACCAATGGGGCCACTGGAACAGAGGGAGACTAAAGAAAAGAAGAAACTTGGTCAAGAGACCTGGCCGGCTTAGGTGACACAGGAGTAGGCCAGAGGTGAAACAAAGTGAGAGAAAGCATGTGAAATGGGGCCGAAGAGGAAACAACTCGGAATGCAAGCAGGAGTGGCCCCCACCAACGACTCAAGAATAAATGAGGCGACAGCATACGGCAGAAGACACCTAGCAGGGTAAAGGCAAGAAAGGATAGAACAACCTCTCAGAAACCGAGAAGCAGCATACCTGGAGAGGGTTCCGGTAGTTCTTTTACTCCCCCAAGCCCAGCCTGAGGCTAGGCTCGACTTGTGTGATAACTTAGTCCATCAGGCTGTTGCTTCTAGTGGCCAGCAGGCCCACATGTCCACTACATGTCCACCTTAGGGGCCTCGTAGCCTGGTGGATAGCGCGCAGGACTCGTAATTCTGTGGCGCGGGTTCGATTCCCGCACGAGGCAGAAACAAATGGGCAAAGTTTCTTTCACCCTGAATGCCCCTGTTACCTAGCAGTAAATAGGTACCTGGGAGTTAGTCAGCTGTCACGGGCTGCTTCCTGGGGTGTGTGTGTGTGTGTGTGGTGTGAAAAAAAAAAAAAATAGTTAGTAAACAGTTGATTGACAGTTGAGAGGCGGGCTGAAAGAGCAAAGCTCAACCCCCGTAAAAACACAACTAGTAAACACAACTAGTAAACACTACACCCTGATTGGCCTGGTACTAGTTGCAAGAACTTGTTTAAATGATTCTCGAAGACTTCCACCATTGTACCGGCAATATTTCTAATGCTTGCTGGGAGGGTATTGAGCAGAAAGAATGGAGAGCACAACACACTCAGAAACAGAAGTACAATGACAAAGCAAAAGCAAGTTGCAAAAAGAGTGCCAAGAAAGCTCATATTGTCTCCCGAGAGGAGGAATGTAGGCGGGACGCCATGAAAGAAGTCACCGGCTCACAAAAGAGATCACAATAAACACGTGTGAAAAATACCAGATGCGAAAGGAGGAGGTGGTCAAACCAGTGTAGTACGTCACTGGGCCGACCCTCTGAAGAGGAAGAGCTGCGGAAAAATGCCTGGGTTCGGACACCGAGCAACAGTGCCTGACACTAAGACTGAGCTGGCCATAAAGAAGCCAAAAAAGATCACCATCCCTCGGTAGAACTCCCACCAGGTCAGGACCTCGAGCTACAGCCAGACTGGGGGCCAAGAGGTACAACCCTACCCTCTACCCATCCAACAGAAAGGCATCCACAGCAAGGGCCTCATAATTGGGGAACAGTGCCTCTTATAAAGGATGGTACCAAGATCACGCAGACTCAAAGAGGTCCGAGTCATGGCACCCAAACGTCTCACAAAGCCACAGAAAAGAGGCGGCACTGACGGTTCACTCGGTGGAAATGGGAAGGAGCTAATACAGACCATCTGTGAAGATGTTGAACACTCACTGGACGTGAATGGCAAGGACAGCCAAACCCCAAGAACCCAGATGAATTTACCCAAACTGTCTGACTCCAAAACAGGCAGGGACCGAAGTGAACCACCAGGCGAGACAAACGACAGAGGGAACAGTCCGAATGGAACTGGTGCACGGAGCCTGGAGGAATCCAAACCCTCCACAACAAATGGCACACAGCCACAAACTCCTACTCTGTGCTGAGAGACCAACGACCCTGGCCAGTTTGGCGAGCATTAGTCATAAAGCCCCAACCCCGAGCCGAGGCATCTGTGTAAACATCAAGCAAGGGTTATCTTGAGATCTTGAGTTGATTTCGGGGCTTTAGTGTCCCTGCAGCCCGGTCCTCGACCAGGCCTCCACCCCCAGGAAGCAGCCCGTGACAGCTGACTAACACCCAGGTACCTATTTTACTGGTAGGTAACAGGGGCATAGGGTGAAAGAAACTCTGCCTATTGTTTCTCGCCGGCGCCCGGGATTGAACCCGGGATCACAGGATCACAAGTCCAGTGTGCTGTCCGCTCGGCCGACCGGCTCCCTAGAAAGGGTGGAGAAAGATGCCAAGGAACTGAACCCTGAAAAGCCCAAAGAGGAGTGTTCCTTCATAAAGGTGTTCTGCACATTAGTTCTGAGAAAGACAGATTGGGTACTTGGCGTGGAAAAGATGGACTGGGTATTATATTCAGTAGACACTGATACTATGTATAAAAGAAAGCACACTAAAATGATAATTCCATTAAATAAATGTACCATCAACCAATAATCAACTAGCAAAGTAAAATTGAGAATAAATATAAATCCAAAATATAGAATCTACTAAAAGTAAAACATATACAGTACCCTCAAGTTGCTGAAGACATGACACAAAAATCATAACATTTTATATGCCAACATTTAACACAAATTGAAGTCCACAGCAAGAGGGTTAAGGTAAGGTATCAAGAGTATGCGCTAAGCCATCACGACTATATAGCCCTTGTAAGGGATATATGGGATATAGATTTGAGATAAAACAGAGGAAAAGAATGGTGCCCAATCACTTTGACAGTCGGGGATTGAACGCCGACCTGCAAGAAGCGAGACCATCACTCTGTCATCCAGTCCAAGTGGTTGGACACAAAAAATTGTTAATATGGCATTACTATATTGTCTCCAGAGAATGACTGCAATATTGCTAATGAACACAGTATATAATCTATTATAAGCTTGACATAACTTGACAATGTTATCACCTCAGGATCTAAATCTTCATCATCTTCTTCCTTCTTAATCTTTCTCAGTTTTTCCTTTTCTTTTCGCTCCTTATTTTTCTTTCTTCTGGATCCTGCCATAAATCGTTGATGGTCGGGATATCTGTCGACTCGAGACAGTAAGCCGGCGCTGTAATACAGATACCCACGATTCTGAAACACAACAATCCAATTTTAGAAATAAAACTTATCATGTCAAACTGAGGGGCCTGGTCAGCGACCGGGCCGTGAAGATGCTAAGCCCCGAAACCATCTCGAGGTATGGAGGGAAAAAAACAAAAATAATAAAAATTCATTAAGTTATAAATTTGTCATCAGCTAATTTCATGGGTTTAAAGAAACCAAATACAAACTCAATTTTGTATCCTAATACAAAACTGATACATTATTAAGACTTACGAATCACAAAATATAAATACAATACAGTATCGAGCAGGAAAAAAAGTGAAACAAAATTATTGTTATGTCCATAAGTGAGGCAAGAGCTGCTGAAGTGAAGCTGCACAGCTGCTCAAGTGAAGCTGCACAGCTGCTGAAGTGAAGCTGCACAGCTGCTGAAGTGAAGCTGCACAGCTGCTGAAGTGAAGCTGCACAGCTGCTGAAGTGAAGCTGCACAGCTGCTAAAGTGAAGCTGCACAGCTGCTGAAGTGAAGCTGCACAGCTGCTCAAGTGAAGCTGCACAGCTGCTCAAGTGAAGCTGCACAGCTGCTCAAGTGAAGCTGCACAGCTGCTAAAGTGAAGCTGCACAGCTGCTAAAGTGCTCACAAAACATTCCTTGAATTCGTCCTGTGTGTCATTGAGATTCACTTGTAATCTTGCGCCAAGATTACTTGCGTCAACCAACATTCTTATTCTTAACTTCATAACTTTTCCTAATCACATCTTGGAACTGTATGAGGAAAAAGCACTGTATGTAATGAAACGCCAGTTTCTGGGTGAGCCCCTGGAGGCTCCATGAAGCCCCTGAAGCCGTTACGGAACGGCTCCAGCTTGTGTTTGGGGTCGATACTACATCACCCTGATTTCGCAAGCTTTCTCATACACTGTTTTCCCTCTGGCCCGTTCATGCACCACCCGAGCCCGCTTGGTCTTTGAACTGTGTTCTTTTCTTCCTTTCGTCTGCTTGTTTTATTGTGTCCCTTCGGTCTAGAATTGTTTTTGTAAGGCGGTGTTTTTTACTTCTCTCTTGCTTGAGGTTGCTGTATGGGTGAGCTTCATGTTGACCAGACCACACACTAGAAATTGAAGGGACGACGACGTTTCGGTCCGTCCTGGACCATTCTCAAGTCGATTGTGATGAGGACAGGTAGGGACAGGCATTAAATAGGCAAGAGAGAGCTGAGGAGGAAAGTCAGGTGTAGGGGATAGTAGTAATGAGAACTGCAGCAGGCCTATTGGCCCATACGAGGCAGCTCCTATTATAACCACCGAAGGAGATAGTAATAGGAAAAAGAAGAGGATTGCAAGGGAGCGTAGGAGAAGACAATGAACAGAAAAAGGGAGAAGAGAGAAAGAAAGAAATGGAAGGGGAAAAGCTTATGTTAAGTCACGTTTGTTAGAAAGATTAGAGCATTTGAGTATATACTGTGAAAGGGAAAGGGAAGAGTCCACAGCAACAAAGCCAGGACTCAAGTTCAAGGACTCAAGTGAGCTTCATGCTCTCTTTCGATGCCTGGGTTTTTGTTCTTTTGATCAAGGTGGCCAGTTTGTATGTTTGCAGCTGGAGCCTTTTCTGGTGAAGAATAAGTCAGTTGGCTTTTGGTCCGTTGGTGGTTGAGGCTTGGTTGGCCCAACCGGTCGGAGCCGGTCGGCCGAGCGGACAGCACGCTGGGCTTGTGATCCTGTGGTCCTGGGTTCGATCCCAGGCGCCGGCGAGAAACAATAGGCAGAGTTTCTTTCACCCTATGCCCCTGTTATCTAGGAATAAAATAGGTACCTGGGTGTTAGTCAGCTGTCACGGGCTGCTTCCTAGGGGTGGAGGCCTGGTCAAGGACTGGGCCGCGGGAACACTAAAAAGCCCCGAAATCATCTCAAGATAACCTCAAGATATAACCATGTGAGCTGGATCTAGTGGTGGCCTTGACCGCTTCCTTCATGTCACTGCTTCTGCTTCAGTGGGTTCATTATAGCTTGATTTGGATTCCCTAGTTCCCTGTTCCAGCGCTCGTTAGTATTAGGTCGTCCTCACTGTTATCAAGCCTAGCCAGCCTGTGGTCTACCTTCGTGCCAGTGATGTTTATAAGTATACCACTCTCTCGGTTGTTTTCGCTAATATATTTGTGGGTCAATATTTGGGCGTGAGGATTTTGGCAGTCAAACAGGGTCCTGGCACCCAGGTATATTATTAATATTTCAGGTCCTTGCCGACCTTGTGTGGCCATGGGTCGTGTATGGTGGCCGATGGCCTTATCTTCATTGTGATACCTGTGGTGGTCCCTTCTCCATGATAAGTGCCCTTTCATTCCGTCTCTGTAGGTATGTACCCCTTTGTTGTTCAGGGAAGCCCTGAACAACAAGGGGCTTCTCTGAGAAAACACAGCGTTGATGTAATGAAATGCCAATTTCTGAGTGAGCCCTGGTGGCTCCCTGACACCTTCCCTTCCCAGGAAGTTGGGAGTGTTTCCATCATCAGAGAACCGAGAGTGGAGCAGTCAGTTGACCTGGGCTGCCTCCCTCCTACCCCAATATGAGGGAAAGAAGTGGGAAGAACGTGCTTGCTCTAGTTTCGTGAATTTTCGATCATTAGTTTAAAATGTTGAGGTAGTTCTTTTGGAGGTTGTGAGGCTGGAGTCTCATTTTTAACTAGCAGTGGTCTCTTTCATCTTATATTTTTTTTTGGGTGTCCTCACCGATGGGGTGACAGACATGAATATATTCATAGAAATTTTATCACGAGTGCCACTGCTCTCTGCACCTCTCTAAAGAAGGCCAGGTTCTGGCTCGTGGTCCATGGTAAGCCTAAAAGAACTTCACGACTGATGGCACCTGGTAGTTTGGCATTATATCAGCATAGTACTGTAGTTTCATGAAGCCACTGAGAAATTGGTATTTCATTACATTCAACCTAGGTTTTATTCAAGTTATGCAAATTCATTCCCAGTTCAGGAATACCCCTGCTTTACAAAAGAGGTGTTACTGTAGTGTACTTGAATTTACCTGAATTTATCTAAGGGCCGCCATCTTTAGTGGCCTCAACGGGGATTGGTTAGCTGGCAGCTTGTCAAAGATACCCAAAGATGAGTAATTATCTATCAATACTGGTCATTTACTTCTAAACATCAGAAGGCAGTGACTACTAAATTGATGGCTAAAACTCTATTTATGACATACAGTATCTCTTATTCTTGCCTATTAGCTTCCGTCTTACTCTGTTCCTATACCTTGTCACCCGTAATGCTCACTAAACATATGTATACTATCCATTTACCTGGACTCTAGGAAACTCGAACTGCGAACCCCACGAGTGTGAGGCCGAAGCATTAATTTCATTTCCACGCAATATTCGGGATTGTCATTTGTCATCCACACTTGCATCCTAGATGCAAGTGTGGATGACAATTTATACGTACGTGTACTATTTATGAATGGTGCCCAGAAGTTCAACAAAATTGCCTCATGAACAAATCCACAGGGGCCGTGATGAGGGTTCGAACCTAAGTTCGAGAGGATCCCACACGCACCTTAATCGACTGAGCTACATCACGGCAAACGAATCGAAGCCTCGTCGCGGCCCTCGTGGATTTGTTCATTTGACGCATCACGCTATTGTGATTTCTGTGCGTAAAATTGCCTCACCTCCTCATTTTGGTAGAAGTGCGACTGGTGGTGTTTGCGAAGACGATGTTCCCACAGCATCTTCTCCACGTAAGCTGCGGAAAAACCTGAACCCACACCATCTGTATCTTCGGATTCAGACGACGAGGATGATGTAACGAGTGTGTCCTTTAGCCACTGACGCTTACGACGTATAAAACTAAAGTTGTATAGGTGTGACTTATCATTCTCACGTTCTAGAAGTGTAGAAGAAGACATAAGAACATTAATTTTCGGATTTGAAAGTCAGCTTACTTCATTTCTGGAAAAAATTCAAAAGTGTTATCTTGAGGTTATCTTGAGATGATTTGGGGCTTTTTAGTGTCCCCGCGGCTCGGTCCTCGACCAGGCCTCCACCCCCAGGAAGCAGCCCGTGACAGCTGACTAACACCCAGGTACCTATTTTACTGCTAGGTAACAGGGGATAGGGTGAAAGAAACTCTGCCCATTGTTTCTCGCCGGCGCCTGGGATCGAACCCAGGACCACAGGATCACAAGTCCAGCGTGCTGTCCGCTCGGCCGACCGGCTCCCTGGTACAGGTATTATATATATATATAATTTTCTACATTTGAGATAAAGTAACTTGAAAAATCTTACGAATGTGGTTATCAGCATTTAACATCTCTTTGTGCTAATGTTCCCAAATCTTAACCACAGAACTGCACTTTACTTGAGATATATATACTGTACTCCTTATTTGTACTGATAACTTGATTACATAACCAACGCAATTAATAACAACCTAAACACACAAAGAAAATATATATATTGTCATGGAAGTTGTGCGTATGTGAATGAGAGGCAAGAGTCATTGACTCTCCGCAGGGATTGACATACCACCGGGGGAGCCGGTCGGCCGAGCGGACAGCACGCTGGACTTGTGATCCTGGGGGCCTGGGTTCGATCCCAGGCGCCGGCGAGAAACAATGGGCAGAGTTTCTTTCACCCTATGCCCCTGTTACCTAGCAGTAAAATAGGTACTTGGGTGTTAGTCAGCTGTCACGGGCTGCTTCCTGGGGGTGGAGGCCTGGTCGAGGACCGGGCCGCGGGGACACTAAAGCCCCGAAATCATCTCAAGATAACCACCTGCATTATTTTGCTACATATACACTAATGGGCATTCTGACTTCCGTTGTCCTTATGCAGGCGATGAGTCATAATAACGTGGCTGAAGTATGTTGACCAATCCACACACTAGAAAATGAAGGGACGACGACGTTTCGGTCCTTCCTGGACCCTTCTCAAGTCGATTGTCTTGTCGTCCCTTCATTTTCTAGTGTGTGGATTGGTCAGCTGTCCTTATGTTTCACAATTGTACCATGCTATCCTCGGGAGTTAGTTTTGTGAGGCACTCCGGGATTGAGCTCTGTTACAGTGTGGTTCCAGGGTAGGAACTTAGTGTGCACTGGCTTCAGTTCCATTCTGTTCTGTTCTGTGTGCTTGCTTTACCTTACCCTGAGGTTACTTTGAGGTGATTTCGGGGCTCAGCGACCCCGCGGCCCAGTCGTCAACCAGGCCTCCTTGTTGCTGGACTGGTCAACCAAGCTGTTGGACGCGGCTGCTCGCAGCTTGACGTATGAGTCACAGCCTGGTTGATCAGATATCCTTTGGAGGTCCTTTAGCGTTTAGGTCCAGGTCAGAGATCCTTTAGCGGATCATTCATTCCAAAATACGTTCCTTGCTCTCTAGCAGTGTTATCTTTGAACCACCACCTAACTTTATATACACAATGTTGTGTATTCTAGATCAGATGGAAAATTGAATCACATTTGCAACTGCTAAAGGTCACATGTAGCGGGAAACTGCTTGGGAATATTCATACTATGTCAGGGCCAAGGTCCCACTACCCCAGGTTGGTAACAAGGTCCCACTACCCCAGGTTGGTAACAAGGTCCCACTACCCCAGGCTGGTAACAAGGTCCCACTACCCCAGGCTGGTAACAAGGTCCCACTACCCCAGGCTGGTAACAAGGTCCCACTACCCCAGGCTGGTAACAAGGTCCCACTACCCAGGCTGGTAACAAGGTCCCACTACCCAGGCTGGTAACAAGGTCCCACTACCCCAGGTTGGTAACAAGGTCCCACTACCCCAGGCTGGTAACAAGGTCCCACTACCCAGGCTGGTAACAAGGTCCCACTACCCCAGGCTGGTAACAAGGTCCCACTACCCCAGGCTGGTAACAAGGTCCCACTACCCCAGGCTGGTAACAAGGTCCCACTACCCAGGCTGGTAACAAGGTCCCACTACCCCAGGCTGGTAACATGGTCCCACTACCCAGGCTGGTAACAAGGTCCCACTACCCCAGGCTGGTAACAAGGTCCCACTACCCCAGGCTGGTAACAAGGTCCCACTACCCCAGGCTGGTAACAAGGTCCCACTACCCAGGCTGGTAACAAGGTCCCACTACCCAGGCTGGTAACAAGGTCCCACTACCCCAGGCTGGTAACAAGGTCCCACTACCCAGGCTGGTAACAAGGTCCCACTACCCAGGCTGGTAACAAGGTCCCACTACCCAGGCTGGTAACAAGGTCCCACTACCCCAGGCTGGTAACAAGGTCCCACTACCCAGGCTGGTAACAAAGTCCCACTACCCCAGGCTGGTAACAAGGTCCCACTACCCCAGGCTGGTAACAAGGTCCCACTACCCAGGCTGGTAACAAGGTCCCACTACCCCAGGCTGGTAACAAGGTCCCACTACCCAGGCTGGTAACAAGGTCCCACTACCCCAGGCTGGTAACAAGGTCCCACTACCCCAGGCTGGTAACAAGGTCCCACTACCCAGGCTGGTAACAAGGTCCCACTACCCAGGCTGGTAACATGGTCCCACTACCCAGGCTGGTAACAAGGTCCCACTACCCCAGGCTGGTAACAAGGTCCCACTACCCAGGCTGGTAACAAAGTCCCAACAAGGTCCCACTACCCCAGGCTGGTAACAAGGTCCCACTACCCCAGGCTGGTAACAAGGTCCCACTACCCAGGCTGGTAACAAGGTCCCACTACCCCAGGCTGGTAACAAGGTCCCACTACCCCAGGCTGGTAACAAGGTCCCACTACCCAGGCTGGTAACAAGGTCCCACTACCCCAGGCTGGTAACAAGGTCCCACTACCCCAGGCTGGTAACAAGGTCCCACTACCCAGGCTGGTACTGTTTTATGTCCATGGGAGAGCTGAATATTACCTAAGGGACTGACTTTCTCAGACATGTAGCTTTCCATCTTTACTTAAAAGTTTATTTTTTGATATTTTAACCTGCTTTCACTGTATTATTCACTAGATGTCTCCCCAGGAGAGCCGGTCGGCCGAGCGGACAGCACGCGGGACTTGTGATTCTGTGGTCCTGGGTTCGATTCCAGGCGCCGGCGAGAAACAATGGGCAGAGTTTCTTTCACCCTATGCCCCTGTTACCTAGCAGTAAATTAGGTACCTGGGTGTTAGTCAGCTGTCACGGGCTGCTTCCTGGGGGTGGAGGCCTGGTCGAGGACCGGGCCGCGGGGACACTAAAGCCCCGAAATCATCTTAAGATAACCTCAAGATAACCACCCAATTGAACTAGGAAAGAGGGGTAATGATGCAGATGATGAGTCACAGTAACGTGGCTGAAGATATGACGACTAAACTACCCACCAGAGGATGAGAAGACGAGGACGTTTCGGTCCATCCTGGACCATTATCAAGTCCGTCCTAGATCCGTCCAGGATCGGTCGGTCATTCGGTCCGTCCTGGATCCTGGATCAAGTCGATTGTCTTGACAATCGACTTGCTTATGGTCCAAGGACGAAACCGAAACGTCGTCGTTTCCTCATCTTCTGGTGCGTGGTTTAGTGTTCAGGGGTAATGATAATGGCGGTGATGACAAAGCAATATTACATTGCAGAACTAAATCTATTTCATATTTTCAGCTTTTGCAACTTTTTAACAAATCTGCTTAGATTTTTGGGGGTTTTAAATTTTTATCTAGAATATAAGATCATGTCATCAAAGTTTTAGCATTCCAAAAGAAGAAGGTACAATACAAGGCAAACTTACCTTCCTTTGTTTTGGGAATTCCATTTTTGAATGATATTCCTCCCTCAGCTTCTGACTCTGATGCTGTATCGTAATCACTGAAGAGAGATGATAATAAATGAAATGCACAATGTTTTAAATTTAATTCCCATTGTGCTACAGCACTTAATTGCAGGCGATGAGTCACAATAACGTGGCTAAAGTATGTTGACCAGACCACACACTAGAAGGTGAAGGGACGACGACGTTTCGGTCCGTCCTGGACCATTCTCAAGTCGAATCGACTTGAGAATGGTCCCGGACGGACCGAAACGTCGTCGTCCCTTCACCTTCTAGTGTTTGGTCTGGTCAACAGCACTTAATTATTCATACCCAGAAGTAGTATTTAAATACTGTATAAGATATCAAATGACTTGTTGCATAACGATTAATTTAACATGACTAATACAAGACCTTGCATGTGGGGGTATAGCAACCCTACCCTACAACTACCAAATTAATAACATGCAGGTACCACAAATTCATGTCAAGTACACACACAGCAAATTGTAGCAACCTAAGCAGTTACATTCTCCACAACAAATTTTAATGAACTTCAACAATAAACTAGAAGTCCAAATAGCTTACATTGTTTATACAATACTGTATAGCAGGCGATGAGTCACAATAACGTGGCTGAAGTATGTTGACCAGACCACACACTAGAAGTTGAAGGGACGACGACGTTTCGGTCCGTTCTCAAGTCGACTGAGAATGGTCCATTCACAATCGTTCACAATCGACTTGAGAATGGTCCAGGACGGACCGAAACGTCGTCGTCCCTTCAACTTCTAGTGTGTGGTCTGGTCAACATACTGTATAGCACTTTTCTTTCACGTACTCTCACCTGCATGTGATCACTATACTCTTTCTTATTTAGCATTTATAAATACTGAAAAGGTAAAGAAACATCACAGAGCTGCTTTTGGACTTCCTTGCTTTAATTTACTTTCATTTTAATTTTAACCTTCTTTCTGTGGAGAGCCCCTTCAGCTTCCCGGAGCTATACCGGGCTGATGTGTATATATTAGATCGTGGCAACAGTCAATCGATAGAGTTCTAAGCCTATCAGGAACCACGCACCAGAACCTGGCCCCCCTCAGAGAGGCACGAGGAGCAATGGCCTATAAACACCCCCATGTAGTTGGAAGCAGTCTATATCTGCCATCTACCAGGTCAGGCACCCAGAAAGGTAGTAATCCCAAAACAAACTACAGATGGTTAAAAATTGCAAACTGAAAGCCGAACTCTCCAATCAGAAAACAAACAAGCATGACGTCACCACAGCCGCCGCGCTACTGTCTGTGCAGCTTCCCCGCCTCCCTGGGAGGGGGAAGGGAAAGGGGCCCAGACCTCCCACGCCGGCTACCCAACTCCAGTTCTGAGGCTATCTTGAGGTTATCTTGAGATGATTTCGGGGCTTTTTAGTGTCCCCGCGGCCCGGTCCTCGACCAGGCCTCCACCCCCAGGAAGCAGCCCGTGACAGCTGACTAACTCCCAGGTACCTATTTACTGCTAGGTAAGAGGGGCATTCAGGGTGAAAGAAACTTTGCCCATTTGTTTCTGCCTCGTGCGGGAATCGAACCCGTGCCACAGAATTACGAGTCCTGCGCGCTGTCCACCAGGCTACGAGGCTGTTGTGTTAAGTGGCAGTCGATCGACTCTGGCTCCAATCCTTGAGCAGTTCTATGACTTATTGTGTTGTGCTGTGGCATGGTAGTGTACAAGCCAGATGTTATTCCAGAAGTGCTAGTACTGGGGCTGCATGCACCTAGGGTTCCCTTCCCTAGGTGCCCTGCAAGTACTGCCCTTGCAGTTTGGGGTTACCTTCCAAAAACTGTTCGGGGGCTACCTCCGCAAGGTTCTTTTGCTGCTTGGTGATTGCCTGCCCATGGGGTCAGCTGGGTTTTTTTCCTACCCATGTTTGGCCTTTAGTAGGAAGTAGCATCATTGCTGGCAGGGGCGCAAGGTACTGTGGAGCTGTCTTATAATACACATAGCGGCCGGCTTTTACATGGTGTTTATTTTCTTTTGTTTTGTTTTGCCTGGTGGGGGTCAGCCTGGTGTGGCTGTAGGACCTCTTGTATGATTTTGGTGGCCCTCCGCTAGGTCCCCGTGATTGCACACGTCGCAAGGGTTCAACATCTTTCAAAAGAAGATAGGGAGAAACTGAAACTGAACCTCGCCGAGGCAAAATGTTTGAATGAGAGCAGGAATGAAGAAGAAATCAATTCTTTTTTTCTACAAAGTGATAAGTGTAGACAGACCAGTAAAGTGGTAAATAAAGGCAAACCAACAAAATCATTAGAGAGGGGGAGTGAAAAATAAGAAGAGGGGGAACAAGTTCCTGAAGATTGCATACACCAACATAGATGGAGTAAGATCGAAGATACTGGAGTTAAGTGATGTAATACAGCTGCAGACACCAGACATTGTTGCACTCACGGAGACAAAACTTGAAGATGTTATTTTAAACGAGGTCATATTCCCAAGGGGCTACTCAATTTGGAGACGGGGCAGAAAAATTAGGAAAGGCGGTGACGTTGCTGTGCTGGTGAAAGAACACCTAAAGGTGAACGAAATAATGACTGCCAATCCACAAGAAGTTGACATAATAGCACTAGAGATCTGCCATGAGGATGATAACCTAATGATCATAAATGCATATAGTCCACCGCCAAGCAGCACATGGTCAAAGGAGGAGCTAGATAGTAAACGAGAAGGTCTTATAACAATGAGAGAGATCATAGCGAGAGCGGATAACGATAGATCACGACTGTTGGTAGTCTACGACTTCAACTTGAAATCCATAGACTGGGAAGCATATGAAGCTAAAAGAGAAGATTTTTGGACCTGTAAATTTGGAGTCCTCATCCTGGAAACATTCTTGTATCAACATGTTAAACAAGCTACGAGGATGAGGGAAGGGGACATTCCCTCCATGCTAGATTTGATATTTACCAGAAAGGAGGAAGAAATATTTGACATTTAGTACCTTCCTCCCTTGGGTAAAAGTGACCATGTCTTTTTGGGAATAAAGTACGCAATGCGTTATAATCTGGAAGAAAATAAGAAGGTTGATGCAATTGAAAAGCCTGACTTTTGGAGAGGACATTATGGCAACCTTAGAAAATTTGTTAGTGAGTATAATTGGACAGACTTGTTGCTAGGCAAGGAAGTGAATGAGATGTATGTCAAGTTTTGTGAAATATATGATAAAGGCACAAAAAAATTTATACCAAAACAGAGATGCAGAACTAGGAAACAGGATTGGTTCAACAGAAATTGCGAGAGGGCCAGAGACCAAAAGCCACAAAATGGAATCAATACAGGAAGAGGCCCAACCCCAAACATACCAGCGATACAAAGATGCGAGAAACAACTACACGGCAGTGAGGAGAGAGGCAGAAAGAAATTTTGAAAAAGGGATTGCAGACAAATGTAAAACAGAACCAGGTCTATTCTATAAATTCATAAACAACAAATTGCAGGTAAAGGATAATATTCGGATGTTGAAAATGGGAAACAGATTTACAGAAAATGAAAAGGAAATGTATGAAACATTAAACGAAACGTTCCAAAGTGTGTTTGTACAAAATTAAATCTTCAGGGAACCAGACACAATAAAATTCCAGAGAACAACATAGAGCACATAGAGGTGTCTAGAGATGAAGTGGAAAAATGCTCAAGGAGCTCGGTAAGGACAAAGCAGTTGGTCCAGATGGAGTTTCACCATGGGTTCTGAGAGAATGTGCACCTGAGCTCAGCATTCCACTTCAACTGATTTTTCAGGCATCCCTGTTTACAGGAGTTGTAGCTGATGTGTGGAAAAAGGCTAACATAGTTCCAATCTACAAAAGTGGAAGCAGAGAAGACCCCCTTAATTATAGACCTGTATCATTGACAAGTGTAATAGTCAAAATACTGGAAAAAATAATTAAAACTAAATGGAGACACCTGGAGAGAAATTATATAATATCAGACAGACAGTATGGTTTTTGATCTGGAAGATCCTGTGTATCGAATTTACTCAGTTTCTATGATCGAGCAACAGAGATATTACAGGAAAGAGATGGTTGGGTTGACTGCATCTATCTGGACCTAAAAAAGGCTTTCGACAGAGTTCACATAAGACGTTGTTCTGGAAACTGGAAAATATTGGAGGAGTGACAGGTAAGCTTCTAACATGGATGAAAAATTTCCTGACTGAAAGAAAAATGGGGGCAGTGATCAGAGGCAATGTATCGGACTGGAGAAATGTCACAAGTGGAGTACCACAAGGTTCAGTTCTTGCACCAGTGATGTTTATTGTCTACATAAATGATCTACCAGTTGGTATACAGAATTATATGAACATGTTTGCTGATGATGCTAAGATAATAGGAAGGATAAGAAACTTAGATGATTGTCATGCCCTTCAAGATGACCTGGACAAAATAAATATATGGAGCACCACTTGGCAAATGGAATTTAATGTTAATAAATGCCATGTTATGGAATGTGGAATAGGAGAACATAGACCCCACTCAACCTATATATTATGTGAGAAATCTTTAAAGAATTCTGATAAAGAAAGAGATCTAAGGGTGGTTCTAGATAGAAAACTATCACCTGAGGACCACATAAAGAATATTGTGCGAGGAGCCTATGCCACGCTTTCTAACTTCAGAATTGCTTTTAAATACATGGATGGCGATATACTAAAGAAATTGTTAATGACTTTTGTTAGGCCAAAGCTAGAATATGCAGCAGTTGTGTGGTGCCCATATCTTAAGAAGCACATCAACAAACTGGAAAAGGTACAAAGACATGCTACTAAGTGGCTCCCAGAACTAAAGGGCAAGAGCTACGAGGAGAGGTTAGAGGCATTAAATACAGTATGCCAAAACTAGAAGACAGAAGAAAAAGAGGTGATATGATCACTACATACAAAATAGTAACAGGAATTGATAAAATCGATAGGGAAGATTTCCTGAGACCTGGAACTTTAAGAACAGGAGGTCATAGATTTAAACTAGCTAAACACAGATGCCGAAGAAATATAAGAAAATTCACTTTCGCAAACAGAGTGGTAGATGGTTGGAACAAGTTAGGTGAGGTGGTGGTGGAGGCCAAGACCGTCAGTAGTTTCAAAGCGTTATATGACAAAGAGTGCTGGGAAGACGGGTCTCCACGAGCATAGCTCTCATCCTGTAACTACACTTAGGTAATTACACTTAGGTAATTACATTTTGTTTGTTTGTTTGGTAGTTCTGGGATAAACGGTTAGCAGTTCAGTACCTTGCCTGGGTTTCCCTTAGCAGTCAGCCTAGGTATATAAAGGGCCCTGGAAACCCCCATTGGGGCTCATTGGTCCAATGGATGCCTGAGTGCCATCTCACTTCGAGTGAGTTTAAAGGTGGCTCTGTCTCCTTGTCTTAGGCACATAGGGGTCTTTGCCGGTTGCGGCTCTTTGCCTTTACTTGCGCGCCACGGCCTCGGTGGCAGGGAATGCACTTTGGGTTGACTTGGTTTTCCCTTCTTCCCTCTTCTAGGGTGCAGGTCTCCCAAATCGTCTGCAGGATTATTCGATCCAGCCGGCCTGCGGTCTATCCCCGTGCCCATGACGTTTGTAAGTTCGCGGCTTTGGCTGCTGTTTTTGGTAATATGTCCTGGGCTGACTTTCAAGCACGGGGTTTTTGAAGATTGAACAGGGTCCTGGCCGCACGCTACCACATTAATGTTCCTGGCCCTTCTCGGGCGTGTGTAGTCTTGAGTTACAGGTTGCAGCCAGTTGTCTCAACTTCAAGTTGAGGAGCGAGTGGCAGCCGCCTCCCAGGTAAGTCCCTCTTTCCTTTATTTTTTATTAGAAAGCTCCGTGGAGCCGAAGAGGCTTTCCACAGAAGACCAGCGTTGAATGCAATTAAATGCCATTTTCTGTGCGAGACCCAAAGGCTTCCCAGCATTCCTCTTTCCCTCCGGTCAGTGGTTTTTAGTGTTTTTGATATCCAGCTTCTAAACTGGGGTTGGGTAGCTGGTGCGGAGGTCTGGGGCCTCCTGCGCAGACAGCAGGGGAAGTTACACACAGAATCACAATAGCGTGATGTATCAAATGAACAAATCCACAAGGGCCGCGGATTTTCGAATCATCACGTCCCTTGTGGATTTGTTCAGCAGGGTAAGTTGTGGTGACGTCAGGCTTGTTTGCTTGTTTTCTGATTGGGGCGTTTTGCTTGCACGTTCGGCTTTCTGTTTGCAATTTTTAACCAACTGTAGTTTGTTTTGGGATTACTACCTTTCTGGGTGCCTGACCTGGTAGATGGCAGATATAGACTGCTTCTAACTACATGGTGGCATCTATAGGCCATTGTTCCTCGTGCCTTTCTGAGGTGGGGGCCAGGTTCTGGCTCGTGGTCCCCGGTAGGCTTAGAACTCCATCGATTGACTGTTATCACGATCTAATATATGCACATTTTTACTTTTTTTGCTTTTTAACTTTTAACTTCATTTTTACTTTTTAAATATATGCACATTTAGATAGACTTTTTAACACAAGGGGCACACCCACTAGGGGACACAGGTGGAAATTGAGTGCCCAAATGAGCCACAGAGACGTTAGAAAGAATTTTTTCAGTGTCAGAGTAGTAGACAAATGGAATGCATTAGGAAGTGATGTGGTGGAGGCTGACTCCATTCACAGCTTCAAGTGTAGATATGATAAGAGCCCAATAGGCTCAGGAACCTGTACACCTGTTGATTGACGGTTGAGAGGCGGGACCAAAGAGCTGGAGCTCAACCCCCGCAAACACAATTAGGCAATTAGGTAAGTACATCAGCCTGGCATAGCTCCGAGGAGCCCCCGGGTCTCACCCAGAAAATGGCGTTTCATTACATTCAACGCTGGTTCCTTTTAATATATTCATATGTGATGGAAAAAGGTTCCTGTGATGTACAGTAAATTAAAATGCTGTTTAGATTTTTATCTTCAAAACAATGACAAATTGTTCATAAGGCTTATTATAATAAAAATTAAATACAAATATTACCTGATTGGTTGGTTAACAATGTGCTCGACATAGTTAAGGAATGGATCGAGCTTCAAAGCCTGTTCCAGCCGCTGAATGTGCAGTGGCTTGGAAAACTCTACATCCTCCATTTCAATAATCTAAAAAAAAAAAAAAAAAGCAGAAACAATATTTAAAATATGAAATTTTTTGGCCATACATAAACTATTACCTATATCCTAGTAAGGATTTATTTATTTATTTATTGATATACAAGAAGTTACATTGGGGGTTAACAGAGAATATAGAAAATAAGTTGAATTAACATTCTTATAAAACCACTAGCACGCATAGCGTTTTGGGCAAAAAATTCTTTGATTTTTTAATTCTTTTCATTAATTAGGAAAAAGTAGAGGTGCTTCTACTAGCTGTCAATAAATATACATATAAAAATTTAATTTATGCAAATCAAAGAATAAAAATAGTATGGAACGTAAGGCAACACTACTCTGTGCGGAGCCCTCAGTGGCTTCCGAGCTAAAGATTCACAAGAGCTGTTGGCAACAGCGAGGTTTCCGATAACTTTCATAAGGCTATTGCAAGCACATAGGGGTCTGGTAGCTGAGTGGACAGCGCGCAGGACTCGTAATTCTGTGGCCTGGGTTCGATTCCCGGACCAGGCAGAAACAAATGGGCAAAGTTTCTTTCACCGTGAATGCCCCTGTTACCTAGCAGTAAATGGGTACCTGGGAGTTAGTCAGTTGTCACGGGCTGCTTCCTGGGGATGTGTGTGTGTGCTGGGAAAAAAAATTAGTAGTTTGTAACAGTTGACTGACAGTTGAGAGGCGGGCCGAAAGAACAAAGCTCAACCCTCTTAAGCACAACTAGGTTATCTTGAGATGATTTCGGGGCTTTAGTGTCCCCGCGGTCCCGGTCCACCCCCCAGGAAGCAGCCCGTGACAGCTGACTAACACCCAGGTACCTATTTTACTGCTAGGTAACAGGGGCATAGGATGAAAGAAACTCTGCCCATTGTTTCTCGCCGGCGCCTGGGATCGAACCCAGGACCACAGGATCACAAGTCCCGCGTGCTGTCCGCTCGGCCGACCGGCTCCCCAGGTGAATACATATACTAAAGAAATTGTTCACGACTTTTGTTAGGCCAAAGCTAGAATATGCAGCGGTTGTGTGGTGCCCATATCTTAAGAAGCACATCAACAAACTGGAAAAGGTGCAAAGACATGCTACTAAGTGGCTTCCAGAACTAAAGGGCAAGAGCTACGAGGAGAGGTTAGAGGCATTAAATATGCCAAAACTGGAAGACAGAAGAAAAAGAGGTGATATGATCACTACATACAAAATAGTAACAGGAATTGATAAAATCGACAGGGAAGACTTCCTGAGACCTGGAATTTCAAGAACAAGAGGTCATAGATTTAAACTAGCTAAACACAGATGCCGAAGAAATATAAGAAAATTCACTTTCGCAAACAGAGTGGTAGACGGTTGGAACAAGTTAGGGGAAAAGGTGGTGGAGGCCAAGACCGTCAGTAGTTTCAATGCGTTATATGACAAAGAGTGCTGGGAAGACGGGACACCACGAGCGTAGCTCTCATCCTGTAACTACACTTAGGTAATTATATGAGGCAAATCTTTATTTATCTATTTACATAAACACAAGAAGTTACATTGCATGTATGAGAGTACATAGCATGATGTGTTCACATTCTTGTAAAGCCACTAGTGCGCGCAGCGTTTCGGGCAGGTCCTTAATCTAACAAATAATATTAAGTAGGTAAATTGTAGCAAAATTTATAAAATGTTAAGAGGTACATGTAAGAAAATATAAGTCTGGCACATACAGAACCAGAATATTATTCACCCAGTTGCGGTCCGTCTAATTACCACAAGCTTCACAAGCTTCCTGGCAATACGTTAGTAATGAATAAATATGATATATTTACTCATTATAATGTTGGTGGTAAATGTACAACACGAAAAAACATAATTTTAATCTGAAGAAGTATCTTTTTATAAAGAAATTTGACAAAAATAAAGAGCAGGTGACGCCAAATCAAGTCGACGATCCAAGCGTCGGTTAGGTTAGGGGAGCCGGTCGGCCGAGCGGACAGCACGCTGGACTTGTGATCCTGTGGTCCCGGGTTCAATCCCGGGCGCCGGCGAGAAACAATGGGGCAGAGTTTCTTTCACCCTAATGCCCCTGTTACCTAGCAGTAAAATAGGTACCTGGGAGTTAGTCAGCTGTCACGGGCTGCTTCCTGGGGGTGGAGGCCTGGTCGAGGACCGGGCCGCGGGGACACTAAAGCCCCGAAATCATCTCAAGATAACCTCATGAAGGTTAGGTTAGGTTAGGTTATCTTGAGATAATTTCGGGGCTTTAGTGTCCCCGCGGCCCGGTCCTCGACCAGGCCTCCACCCCCAAGAAGCAGCCCGTGACAGCTGACTAACACCCAGGTACCTATTTACTGCTAGGTAACAGGGGCATTAGGGTGAAAGAAACTCTGCCCCATTGTTTCTCGCCGGCGCCCGGGATCGAACCCGGGGCCACAGGATCACGCGTTCAGCGTGCTGTCCGCTCAGCCACCAGCCGTGAGGCCAGAATGAGGCAGCAAAGGTGAAAATGAAGCCAGAATGAGGCAGCAAAGGTGAAAATGAGGCCAGAATGAGGCAGCAAAGGTGAAAATGAGGCCAGAATGAGGCAGCAAGGGTGAAAATAAGGCCAGAATGAGGCAGCAAAGGTGAAAATGAGGCCAGAATGAGGCAGCAAGGGTGAAAATAAGGCCAGAATGAGAGATCATGAGGCAACACGAGTGTAAATGAGGCCAGAATGAGTGTTCATGAGGCAGCACCAATAACCATGAGCCAAGACCCTCCCAACCACCACAGAGCCACAGCATGAGGCCCAGAGAGCGAGACATGAGGCCCAGAGAATGAGACACGAGGCCCAGAGAGCGTGAGACATGAGGCACCTCACAAATATCTCTCTCCTCTTAAAAGCACTAATCTTCTTCCCACCCCTACACACAAAACCCATTTCCCGCCCCCCGCGCCGCTACACACCGCTATCTAGCCACTACACAGGGAGGATAACCCCAGGGGTAGCCACCAGCAGGCCGCCACAGGCTCCACACGGGTCACAGGGGTGAGAAAACGACACAAAATCTTTATTCCCTCATCGTCATGAACCGCCGCCATTACCCCCCCCCGGTCAACCCCCCTGACCCGAGGATCTCGCTCCCTATCTTATCCCCTTTTCTGCCTTTAATACGCTTTTATATCCCTTTATCGCCATTACAACACTTATAATTAAATATTCTAAGTTGTGTTTGGCCATTTAGCAGGTATTTAGGGTGATATTTTAGACAAAATCGTTAAAAAACGTTTTGGAGCGAGGTCCCTCCTCCTTACTACTCGCTCGCTATTTTACCCCCTTTTATGGCTCTAATACGCCTCTATATCACTTTATATCCGCTAAAACTCCTATAATCAATTATTATATATTATATTTGGTCATTTAGGAGGAATATAAGCCGATATTTCACACAAAATCATTAAAAATCATTTTGGAACGAGCTCATGTGTAGGCTCAGTTGCCGGCGGGAAATTTAAATCTAATGCCTAGCCAGCCTAAAATATTAAAAAATACAGGCCTATATCTATCAGACAGGCAGTAATATATCGCCAAAAACATAATCTATCTCAAAATCATGCTTTTTAACCTTTATAAGGACAGATTTAACCAAATAATAGTATATTGGTCGAGTCGAGCGGGAAACGAGTCTACAGCAGCCAGCCACCTCTCAAGCACAGGCGGCGGCGGACGCCCGACATCTTCTATTTTCGGGTCAAAATCGCGACTTTTACACACTCATGTAAGGCAACGAGACCCGCTTGGCCGCTTGGGGCCCGGGGCGCGGCCCTGGGCACGGGTTTGGCCCCTGTAGGAGGCCCGGGAGGGGTGAAATGGGCATTGTTTACATGGGGCAGCTTAGCTGGTGGTAGGGGGGGATTACAGTGCTATGCCACACTTATGTTATTATTATCGCTCTTATAGCTGGTGCTGAGCCAGCTGGCGGTCTTATAGCTGGTGCTGAGCCAGCTGGCGGTCTTATAGCTGGTGCTGAGCCAGCTGGCGGTCTTATAGCTGGTGCTGAGCCAGCTGGCGGTCTTATAGCTGGTGCTGAGCCAGCTGGCTGTCTTATAGCTGGTGCTGAGCCAGCTGGCGGTCTTATAGCCGGTGCTGAGCCAGCTGGCTGTCTTATAGCTGGTGCTGAGCCAGCTGGCTGTCTTATAGCTGGTGCTGAGCCAGCTGGCTGTCTTATAGCTGGTGCTGAGCCAGCTGGTGCTGAGCCAGCTGGCTGTCTTATAGCTGGTGCTGAGCCAGCTGGCTGTCTTATAGCTGGTGCTGAGCCAGCTGGTGCTGAGCCAGCTGGCAGTCTTATAGCTGGTGCTGAGCCAGCTGGCGGTCTTACAGCTGGTGCTGAGCCAGCTGGCGGTCTTACAGCTGGTGCTGAGCCAGCTGGCAGTCTTATAGCTGGTGCTGAGCCAGCTGGCGGTCTTACAGCTGGTGCTGAGCCAGCTGGCGGTCTTACAGCTGGTGCTGAGGCAGCTGGCTGTCTTATAGCTGATGCTGAGCCAGCTGGTGCTGAGCCACCTGGCGGTCTTATAGCTGGTGCTGAGCCAGCTGGCGGTCTTATAGCTGGTGCTGAGCCAGCTGGCGGTCTTATAGCTGGTGCTGAGCCAGCTGGCGGTCTTACAGCTGGTGCTGAGCCAGCTGGCGGTCTTACAGCTGGTTCTGTACCACCTGTCCCTCTTACAGCTGGTTCTGTACCACCTGTCACCAGGTTCTGTACACCTGTCTGTCTTACAGCTGGTTCTGTACCACCTGTCACCAGGTTCTGTACCACTTGTCCCTCTTACAGCTGCTTCTGTACCACCTGTCCCTCTTACAGCTGGTTCTGTACCACCTGTCCCTCTTACAGCTGGTTCTGTACCACTTGTCACTCTTACAGCTGGTTCTGTACCACCTGTCTTACAGCTGGTTCTGTACCACCTGTCTGTCTTACAGCTGGTTCTGTACCACCTGTCCCTCTTACAGCTGGTTCTGTACCACTTGTCCCTCTTATAGCTGGTTCTGTACCACCTGTCTTACAGCTGGTTCTGTACCACCTGTCCCTCTTACAGCTGGTTCTGTACCACTTGTCCCTCTTACAGCTGGTTCTGTACCACCTGTCTTACAGCTGGTTCTGTACCACCTGTCTGTCTTACAGCTGGTTCTGTACCACCTGTCCCTCTTACAGCTGGTTCTGTACCACCTGTCACCAGGTTCTGTACCACTTGTCCCTCCACTGGTTCTGTCTGTCCCTCTTACAGCTGGTTCTGTACTTGTCCCTCTTACAGCTGGTTCTGTACCACCTGTCCCTCTTACAGTTGGTTCTGTACCACTTGTCCCTCTTACAGCTGGTTCTGTACCACCTGTCTTACAGCTGGTTCTGTACACCTGTCTGTCTTTGGTTCTGTACCACTTGTCCCTCTTACAGCTGGTTCTGTACCACCTGTCTGTCTTACAGCTGGTTCTGTACCACCTGTCCCTCTTACAGCTGGTTCTGTACCACCTGTCACCAGGTCCGACCACTTGGCCTGGACGGTAGAGCGACGGTCTCGCTACGAGCAGGTCGGCGGCGTTCGATCCCCGACCGTCCAAGAGGTTGGACGTGTTCCCCGCGTCCCGTCCCAAATCCTTATCCCGACCCCCAGTGAACAAATCCCCAAGGGCCGTGGCGAGGGTTCGAACCTACGTCCGAGAGGATCGGGACGGCTATGTAGCACTGACCCCAGCACAGGGGGGCCTCGTAGCCTGGTGGATAGCGCGCAGGACTCGTAATTCTGTCGCGCGGGTTCGATTCACGCACGAGGTAGAAACAAATGGGCAAAGTTTCTTTCACCCTGAATGCCCCTGGTTACCTAGCAGTAAAATAGGTACCTGGGTGTTCATCTCAAGATAACCCCCCAGTGCTATATAGCCGTAATGGCTTGCCGCTTTTCCCCCCTGATAAGTCCTGTCCCTCTTCCATGGCATACTTGATTTTTCTTAATGGATTGTTTTGAATCATATATTTTCACACTTTTAGCGCCAGTAATGAAGTATAATTTGGATATCTTTTTTTTTTTTCTTTCAGAATGGTGGGGACGCGTGTATATGTCGGAGGCCTGAGCTATAGGGTCGGTGAAAGAGACCTAGAAAGATTTTTCCGAGGCTTTGGACGACTCAGAGATATCGTTATCAAAAATGGCTTTGCATTTGTGGTAAGTTCTTAACAAACCCCTAATAAAGATTAGTTATAGTTTTGTGAACAAACAAAATATCTGATTTTTTTTCTGCTGAGTTCACATTTAAATTCATAATCCTTAAGTTTTAGCAAAACTGTGATTGCTCTAAAACTTGTTGATATCCAATTTGTATCATTCCTGTTGCAATTTTGTATGTGGCGATCATGTCACTTCTATTTCTTTTGCCTACGAGGTTTGTCATTTCTAACTCCTGCAGTCATTTTTCATAGTAATTTTATTTTAGGAAATTAATCAATTTCCCCCCCTCCAGGGGGGGGGGGAATTGATTAACATTGCATAATTTGTAAAAAATGTGTAGTTTTGGGATGTCAAATATTTTCATATTGTTGCGTATAGAGTGCGACATTAATTCATCGAACTATACGGGGACCAATCGTGACTTATTGCAGTGAGGGATTCGTTGCCTTGAGGTTATCTTGAGATGATTTTGGAGCTTTATCAGTGTCCCCGCGGCCCGGTCCTCGACCAGGCCTCCACCCCCAGGAAGCAGCCCGTGACAGCTGACTAACACCCAGGTACCTATTTTACTGCTAGGTAACAGGGGCATTCAGGGCGAAAGAAACTTTGCCCATTTGTTTCTGCCTCGTGCGGGAATCGAACCCGCGCCACAGAATTACGAGTCCTGCGCGCTATCCACCAGGCTACGAGGCCCCTGTAACATCAATTCATCGAACTATACGGGGACCAATCATGACATGTTGCAGTGAGGGATTCGTTGCCTTGAGGTTATCTTGAGATGATTTTGGAGCTTTATTAGTGTCCCCGCGGCCCGGTCCTCGACCAGGCCTCCACCCCCAGGAAGCAGCCCGTGACAACTGACTAACACCCAGGTACCTATTTTACTGCTAGGTAATAGTTGCATAGGGTGAAAGAAACTCTGCCCATTGTTTCTCACCGGCACCCGGGATCGAACCCGGGACCACAGGATCACAAGTCCAGCGTGCTGTCCGCTCGGCCGACTGGCTCCCTAAAATGCCAGCTGTGTTGCCTTCGTCAGGTGTTTGTCTGACCACGTTTGTCCACGCACCGCCGTGGACAAACGGCGGTGAGTTTACGATATACTGCACTAATAAACATCATATGTGAGCTGGCACACCCCCTGCTGGGAGCCGGTTGGCCGAGCGGACAGCACACTGGACTTGTGATCCTGTGGTCCCGGGTTCGATCCCGGGCGCCGGCGAGAAACAATGGGCAGAGTTTCTTTCACCCTATGCTCCCCTGTTACCTAGCAGTAAAATAGGTACCTGGGTGTTAGTCAGCTGGCACGGGCTGCTTCCTGGGGGTGGAGGCCTAGTCGAGGACCGGGCCGCGGGGACACTAAAGCCCCGAAATCATCTGAAGATAACCCGTTTTCCCATGATATCAGTGAGTGAAGTACACTGCCTAATGTGGCTCCAGTCAATATGGATATAACATGATAGGAACCAGTTGGGGGGGGGGGCCTGGAAAGCCATTAAGCGTATTTAAAACCCACATTCTATGGTTCGTTTTCCTTTTGAGATCTCCAGGTTTTCATTTACAAATGTGGCCCGTTTTCCTTTTAAAACGAGGTTTCGAGGCTAGGCTGTGGGAAATGTGCTAGATGTGCTTAACTGTTTACTGACAGGTTCTCTTGGTAGTTGTCCATCATGTGTCAGGTTTAAAGGAAAATTTTGCCCGGTGAAATTAGTCCCACGGCCTAGGGGCCAGATTCACGAAGCAGTTACGCAAGTACCTACGAACGTGTTCACATCTTTCCTCAATCTTTGACGGCTTTGGTTACATTTATTAAACAGTTTGGCAAGTTTTCATGCTTGCAATCAACTGTTGTTATTGTTATAAACAGCCTCTTGGTGCTTCGAAGCTCATTAACTGTTTAATAATTGTAAACAAAGCTGCCAAAGATTGTGGAAAGATGTACAGGTTCGTAAGTGCTTGTATAACTGACTTGTGAATCTGGTTCCAGGTTCGTAAGTACTTGCGTAACTGCTTCGTGAATCTGGCCCCAGGTGCGTAAGTACTTGCTTAAATGCTTCATGAATCTGTCCTCAGGTGCATAAGTGCTTGCGTAAATGCTTTGTGAATCTGGCCCCAGGTGCGTAAGCACTTGCGTAACTGCTTCGTGAATCTGGCCCCAGGTTCGTAAGTACTTGCGTAACTGCTTCGTGAATCTGGCCCCAGGTTCGTAAGTACTTGCGTAAATGCTTCGTGAATCTGGCCCTGGACAGAGACCACACCGTGCGGATGTTGGTCCTCGGAATCATGGACGGGTAACGGAGCGTGAGAAATATTAAAGTAAGAATAGCACCGTCTTAATGATTTTCTTAGACAGACTCAACATTACAAGAAACAGTTGGGACTCTTTTTTTTTTTATTGTGTAAACATAAAATCATGCAAATGTCTCCCTGGAGGGGGCTGACAGCTGAGTGGACAGAGCTCAGGATTCGTAGTCCTAAGGTTCCGGATTTGATCCCCGGCGGAGGCGGAAACAAATGGGCAGAGTTTTTGTCAGCCTGATGGTCCTGTTCACCCTAGCAGGGAATAGGCATACCTGGGAGTTAGACAGCTGCTACGGACTGCTCCTTCCTTGGGATGTGTAACAAAAAGGAGGCCTGGTCGAGGACCGGGCCGCGGGGACGCTAAGCCCCGAAATCACCTCAAGATAACCCAGATAACCCAGAGGCATCTCCGGTTGTAATGAATCTCTCATTGCAAGGAAATTTGGGTTGTCGCATATAGTTTATTGAATGAATATTGTACTGTATAACTGTTTACAACTTTTTGTCTTTCTTCCTGTAGGAATTTGATGATCATCGAGATGCAGATGATGCTGTCTATGAGATGAATGGCAAGGATTTAATGGGAGAAAGGTAATCTCTCTCTCTTATTACAGTATTATAAATTATATTTTTTTTGAAGCTCTCCTTTGAGTTCAAACTTGTTTACTCCGAAAATAATTTGGAGTTATGATGAGAGTTCAAACTTGTTTACTCCGAAAATAATTTGGAGTTATGATGATAGTGTATGAACTTGCAGGCTACAGACAGCGTAAGCCTGATTGGTACCTGCTTGATGGGGTTCTGGGAGTTCTTTTACTGCCCAAGTCCCGGCCCGAGGCCAGGCTTGACTTGTGAGAGTTTGGTCCACCAGGCTGTTGCTTGGAGCGGCCCGCAGGCCCACATACCCACCACAGCCCGGTTGGTCCGGCACTCCTTGAAGAAAACAATCTAGTTTTCTCTTTAAGATGTCCACGGTTGTTCCGGCAATATTTCTGATGCTCGCTGGGAGGACGTTGAACATCCGCGGACCTCTGATGTTTATACAGTGTTCTCTGATTGTGCCTATGGCACCCCTGCCACTGGACCTTTGATTGTGCCTATGGCACCTCTGCTCACAGGTTCTATTCTGCATTTTCTTCCATATCGTTCACTCCAGTACGTTGTTATTTTACTGTGCAGATTTGGGACCTGTCCCTCCAGTGTTTTCCACGTGTATACTATTCAAGCATTATTGAGAAAAGCTTAACCTCCAGCTGTTTTGCAAGTATTACACACAGAAATCACAATAGCCTGATGCATCAAATGCACCAAGCAGGGAATAGGCATACCTGGGAGTTAGACAGCTGCTACGGGCTGCTCCTTCCTTGGGATGTGTAACAAAAAGGAGGCCTGGTCGAGGACCGGGCCGCGGGGACGCTAAGCCCCGAAATCACCTCAAGATAACCCAGATAACCCAGAGGCATCTCCGGTTGTAATGAATCTCTCATTGCAAGGAAATTTGGGTTGTCGCATATAGTTTATTGAATGAATATTGTACTGTATAACTGTTTACAACTTTTTGTCTTTCTTCCTGTAGGAATTTGATGATCATCGAGATGCAGATGATGCTGTCTATGAGATGAATGGCAAGGATTTAATGGGAGAAAGGTAATCTCTCTCTCTTATTACAGTATTATAAATTATATTTTTTTTGAAGCTCTCCTTTGAGTTCAAACTTGTTTACTCCGAAAATAATTTGGAGTTATGATGATAGTGTATGAACTTGCAGGCTACAGACAGCGTAAGCCTGATTGGTACCTGCTTGATGGGGTTCTGGGAGTTCTTTTACTGCCCAAGTCCCGGCCCGAGGCCAGGCTTGACTTGTGAGAGTTTGGTCCACCAGGCTGTTGCTTGGAGCGGCCCGCAGGCCCACATACCCACCACAGCCCGGTTGGTCCGGCACTCCTTGAAGAAAACAATCTAGTTTTCTCTTTAAGATGTCCACGGTTGTTCCGGCAATATTTCTGATCCTCGCTGGGAGGACGTTGAACATCCGCGGACCTCTGATGTTTATACAGTGTTCTCTGATTGTGCCTATGGCACCCCTGCCACTGGACCTTTGATTGTGCCTATGGCACCTCTGCTCCTCACAGGTTCTATTCTGCATTTTCTTCCATATCGTTCACTCCAGTACGTTGTTATTTTACTGTGCAGATTTGGGACCTGTCCCTCCAGTGTTTTCCACGTGTATACTATTCAAGCATTATTGAGAAAAGCTTAACCTCCAGCTGTTTTGCAAGTATTACACACAGAAATCACAATAGCGTGATGCATCAAATGCACCAAGCCACAAGGGCCGTGGAGAGGGATCTCTTAACCATGTCGTAGCTCAGTCGATTAAGGCAGCGTCTGGGATCCTCTCGGACGTAGGTTCGAACCCTCGTCACGGCCCTTGTGGATTTGCAAGTATATTTCCTTGTAACTGGTTACGGGTACAAATATAAGATTTCCATATCGGTTTTTGATAAAGGATTTTGTAATTTGTGTAGTTCTTTAACCCTTACACTGCTCAGGGGTCCTTGGGACATTTACACCCCTGTGCGCAAGAAAAAAAAATTCAAAATTTTTTTTTCGTCTTCTAAACATGTTAATTTGTGTCCCCTGAGCACGGAAAAATAAAAAAAAAATCGTAGGTGACATATTTTGGGCGCAATTGACCGAGGAAGTCTGGCAAAAAGTGGGCATTGACAGAGTGGTCGTCAGACCCGGTCAGCGTCACCCGCGTTGACAGATGGGAGTTGCCACAAAGATATTATTACCTAATTGTTTCAATGTCTCCGATTGATTTTTTCTTAGTTTTTTTGCAGTAATATTATTCAATAGTGTGTATTGTAATATATTTATATAATAAAAGTGGTTAATAATCGCTATACTCAAAAGTATGATGTGCATATTAGTGATTCAATTATTATGTTTATAAAACTATAAACAAATAGTTTTGCTGCTATTACACTCTATACACAGGTTATATATAAGTATTGGCATGTTTTGGTCACCATAACGAACCACTAAGTTGGTATTGAGAGTCGAAAAGCAACGAGGAGTTACCGCCACTCGCTGCCACTCACTCAACACACGCACTAAACTTTCTCCCCCAACAATACCAGTTGTGGTGTTATTACACTATATACAGACGTTATATATAAGTATGTGTATATTTTGTTCACAACTGTACAGCTAAGCTGATATAGTTAGTTCAGGCACTTAGTCGACGCTATACACAGATGGCGGCTGGCGGCTCCCTCACTCATTCAAGGTCACACGCACTAAACTTTCTCCCCCAACAATACCTTTTGCAGTGTTATTACCCTATATACACATATTATATATAAATATCTACATGTTTTATGCACCGTAACTGTACACCTAAGCTTGTAGTGCGCCCAAAGAGCATAGTGGCCACCCTCTAAACAGCTAGACAAATCATGCAGACGACGTCACCTCCGTCACCCATATGGCTCCTCCCAGCATAATCATTTTGCTGTTATTACACTAATACACACATTATATATAAGTATCTACATTTGTGTTCACCATAGAGAACCACTGGCCTGGTATGGTGAATGCAAACAATAACAGGTAGCCACACAGTCAGTAAACGATGCTGTCTCCCTCCGTCTCTCAGCATCACTCCTCCCACAGCGCTAATTATTACAACAATCCTGCTATTATCACAACCCTGGTTATTTATATCACAGTCATGGGTCATCTGTAATATTGTCATCGCTAAATAATAACAATTATATATTTATTTTGACATTTTTTGGCGATGCTGTGGTCACAAGCTGAACATCAATGCTGTTCGCTCATGCTGCGTGCGCCGGCCTTGGTTGCTCCAACAGTACTGTGCCTCTCACACTTGAGAATATTGCCCACGATTTTTTTTTTTTTTTTGGCATCTGTTTACAAGAGCCCTGAGGAAGCTACTGTGAACCCCGTGTAGCCGCAGGCCATTTGAATCAGGCCTGGCACCCTATGGCGTATATATACGCCATGCGCACCATGGGACATGTTACTCAGGGCGTATATATACGCCATGTGCAGTTTAAGGGTTAATATATATTACATGTACTCGCGTAGTTGTATTCAACTAGTTGTGCTTTGCGGGGGGTTGAGCTTTGTCCTTTTGGTCCCGCCTCTCAACTGTCAATCAACTGGTGTACAGGTTCCTGAGCCAATTGGGCTCTGTTATATCTACATTTGAAACTGTATATGGAGTCAGCCTCCACCACATCACTTCCTAATGCATTCCATCTGTTAACTACTCTGACACTGAACAAGTTCTTTCTAACGTCCCTGTGAGTTTATATGCTAGTATTTATCTATCATGCCTGGTAAAGGGCTGGGGGGATGATCTTGGCCTCCACCTTCTAACCCGATACATTTATTTCGCCGATTTCTAGCGTTATGATTTGGTTTTAAAACAGTAGATGTTAGCTTCCACAATTTCTGCTCACAATTCATTTCACTACTTGCAGACGAGGAGTCACAATAACGTGGATGAAATATGTTGACCAAACCACCCACTAGAAAGTGAAGGGACGACGACGTTTTGGTCCGTCCGGGACCATTGTCAAGTCCACAATCGACTTGAGACTGGTCCAGGACTGACCAAAATGTCGTCGTCCCTTCACTTTATACGGTGTGGTTTGGTCAACATTTCACTAATTCCTTGACATACCACATGCACTGCATTTTCCTCGTCTGGAAAAGAATATCCGTCACTCAGTATTTTGTATGTTGATGCTATTTCTTCTCATTCATCTTCGAGAGGTGTATTCTTTACCCAGTCCTCGTAGCTTAGTTTCTGTCTTCCTGACAACAATTTTCTTGCAAACTCTGCACTCTCTTGATCTTATGTTTTAGAAGATGGAAATTCCATTCTGATCTAAATACAGATGCATTTTACATCGTTCCGAACCAGATCTGGATGCAGCCAAGGAGTCACAATAACGTGGCTGAAGAATGTTGACCAGACCACACACTAGGAGGTGAAGGGACGACGACATTTCGGTCCCTCCTGGACCATTCTCAAGTCGATTGTGACTTGAGAATGGTCCAGGAGGGACCGAAACGTCGTCGTCCCTTCACCTTTTAGTGTGTGGTCTGGTCAACAGATCTGGATTACCCGGAAATTACCTCCTCTTTGACTATGATACCTGGTTGATGGGGTTCTGGGAGTTCTTCTACTCCCCAAGCCCAGCCCGAGGCCTGGCTCGACTTGTGAGAGTCTGGTCCACGAGGCTGTTGCTTGGAGCGGCCCGCAGCGCCACGTACCCACCACAGCCCGGCTGATCTGGAACTTCTCTTGGAAAACCATCCAGTTTTCTCTTGAAGATGTCCACGGTTGTTCCGGCAATATTTCTTATAGTTGCTGGGAGGACGTTGAACAACCGCGGACCTCTGATGTTTATACAGTGTTCTCTGATTATGCCTATGGCACCTCTGCTCTTCACTGGTTCAATCTTGCATTTTCTTCCATATCGTTCACTCCAGTACATTCTTATTTTACTGTGTAGATTTGGGACCTGACCCTTCAGTATTTTCCATGT